ACAACCTTTCTCCTCCCTGGATCTCAATTTCCTCTTTTATGAGATATAAGGCTTAGGGGTGATTATTTCGAAGGATTCTCCTTTGTAGGATTCTGTGACTCAAGGGAAAGAAAATGGGATGAGGGAAGAAAGCAAGTCAATAGCAGTATGGAGTTTGAATGTGAAGATGATAGGACCTATCGGTCCTAGTAGCAGCCTCCAGTCCCACCACCATGCCTTCTTAACACTTTTAGTGTCATCTGATAAGGTATATTCATTGAACATCTCTAAGTACCAAAGTAGAACTTTCATAAAATGGAAAAAAGTTACTTGCTTAGAAACAAATGGCATGGACATTAAAAAAAAAAAAACAATTGCCTATGTTAATGCCATAATAAATCTTCAAATGATGAGGTGGGGAGAGGAACAAAGAGGATTCCAAATATTGGGCACTGAGTGTCCTAATCCTGCCTTGCTTCTTCCTATTTCTGTAACTTAATTAAGATGCTTAATGACTCTGACTTATCAAATGAGACATAGGTTAATCATGGAGGTCACCTCACAGCTTTGCTATAAGGTTTCAAGTGCACATGAAGCAACAAGTAGGCAGAACTTAGAACTGGGCTTGGCATCTTACAAGTGCTCAAACAAGTGAACTGTCATCATAATGGTGAAATTAACCTCTTATATTTACAAAATGTGTTTAAAATCAATGTCTTTTATTGCAAAGCAGTAAGAATAATAGTGTCCTCCAATTTAAGATCTTCATTAAAATTAAACATGAAAGTCAGTCTCCTGTGACTTCTTCCTGTGACTTCTTGGACAAGAAGCAATCAGGAGATTTGGGAGCAGCTGCTCTACCCTGAAATCAATGTTATCAGTGTGTGTGTGTGTGTGTGTGTGTGTGTGCGTGCGTGCGTGTGTGTGTGTGTGTGTGTGTGTGTGTGTGTCTGTGTGTGTGTATGGGGGGCGGTAAGTTACCTCCAAAGATGCTTATTTTAAAACTTCCCTTTAGTCTGAAACAGCTGAATTTTACCTTTAAATTTCATACTATTCGTTCAAAACAAAACAAAACTGGGAAAATATATGCCTCTTGAATTTTAAATAAATTGGTTATAAATTCCAGTTTACATTCTCCTAAGTGTCATTAGAGGTACATATATGCTTTCATAGTTCATAATTGATTTTGATGTTTGCTATTAACTTAAGCATTATCCAAATGTATTAATAATGGAGGTAAAATTTAAGGTATATAACTAATAGCGAAGAGCATGAAAACATTAAGTTTATGTATAAGTTCCCCCAAATTTCTCTAACATTATGAAGCATGCTCTCATCATGAGTAAATGATATTATATATACATTGTGTAGGGTACATCTATATTTAAAAAATTTTTATAACTCTTTCTATTACTAATACTATGATTGTGCAGATATACAGAGACCAATGATCTTGAGAGATTTTTCTCACTATCAAAGAAGCAAGTTAGGTCTGGTACTAGATTCAGTCTTATTTCCATTGTGACATCACTTATTCATTGTAGCTTTGTAAGTTGGAGCCCATTTTATTCCTCTCACCATCTTACCATTTGAGGATTTGTTATGTGTTCAATATTTCTCTTGCTTGTCCCTACTAATTTTCCTCTGGTGATCTGGGTTATTTAAAGCTAAAGAATAGGATAGCATAGAATACCATAGAATGGAATAGAAAGAAGAGAAGAGAAGAGAAGAGAAAAAAAGAGAGTAGAGCAGAACTCCAGATCTGACACAAATCTAGATCAGCTAATAGACTTCTCTCATTTTTCAGTTGAAATAAGGAAAAGGTAGCTCATGATTGAATTTTTTGGATGCCAAAAAATTCCATGTGTTTCCAAAGTAAACTTGGGTACAGAGCTGTGGGAGCTATTTGGAAGCTTTCTTTAGAACAGAAGGCTCCCATTTGGGCCTATATATGGAGAAATTGAATTGATAGTCATTGAAAATTGCTTTAGCAAAACCAATATTCAATTGGGGTCAATTGAAATGGCCAGAATTTTTATTGCAGAAAGGCAAAAAGAACTAAGGCAGTCTCTTTGCTATTAGATCCAGAGTAGTAACATGAGAGTAGTGGTGCCTTCAGAGCCAGGGAACTGAAGTAGGGGAGTACTAAACACTGATACACAGCACTGTCCACCTTGCTATTTTTCTTTTACACTTGGGCTGATGCTGACTCACATCAACCCAGAAGATTTCAAGTTTCTGGCAGATAACTGCCACTCGATCCTTAATATTTCCACTGTGTCTCCCTCCCTCTGAACAACTTTTTTTTTTGAAGATGAATTCTAAAACAGGAAAAGTTAAGGAAATATTCATCTACCCATTCAACAAATGATTCTTTAGTCCTATGCACTAGAAAAAGACTTGTAGGGATGGGGAGGATAAGGATGGGTAAGAGATTGGAGGGTTACTGTGATCAGAATGCACATTATACATGTATGAAATTGTAAAAGGACAAACTCAGAAAAAAAACCCACCAAAATGATTATGGGAAGGAACATAGAAAAAGAAAATTTAAAGTTTTAAGGTACTACTTTGTTTAGTTTATAAATAGACATTTAAGAAGCTGGATAAAATGGACAGTCTTGCAGAAAAATGTAATTTATAGGAACTGACTTCAAAACTGATTTCAAAATGTAAATTAGGCCAATCATTATGGGGATCACTATGGAGGTTCTTCAAAAAATTAAAAATAGAACTTGTGTATGACCCAGCTATACACTTCTGGGCATGTATCCAAATGAATAAAAATCAGCTTACAGTACAGACACTGTCACATTCATGGTTATTGTAGCAGGATTTACAATAGCAAGTTATGGAATCATCCTAGTTGAGAATCAACAGATGAACGGATAAAGAAATTATACATACATTATATATGTGACCCGTGATGCTTTATTCAACCATTAAAAGGAATGACACTGTGTCATTTACAGGAAAATAGAGGGACTAGAGAGCATCATGTTAAGCAAAATAAGCCAGGCTCAGAAGGTAAAATACTGTGTCTTTTCTCATTTGTAGAGATTAGTGTGGAAGAAAAGAGCATGAAAGATAAAGGAGGGCTATTGGAGACGTGGAACTCTGAAGGGTGGAAAGGAGACAAGAAACAGTAATAGAAAGGGTGAATATACATAAAGTACATTATATTCATGTATAGAAATGTCATAGTGAGACCCATTACTTTGTATAATTAATGTATACTAAAATAAACCCCCAGCAGGCTAAACATAAAAATGAAATATTGGATAAAAAAATCTAAGAACATTTCCCTAGAAGAAACAATAACATTTCTTCAAAGATTATGTTGCTCAAAATATAATTGTACAATCTTTCCTTAGATGAATTAATATGATGTATTATAATAATGGGTTTTTATATAACAAATTATCTCAACATTATAGATTGAATTCTACTTGGTCATAAATTATTTTAATGTTTCATTGAATTGTTTGTCTGTAGCATTTTTACTAATAAGTACATAATATTTCCAGTCATGAACCTCCCCCCTCCATGTATTTTCCCATTTTGTACAAGTAGAAGTTGCAGTTTGCTTATAAAGCAGGTAATCAATGCTTCCCATAGACTTCCTCCAGTGTACAGCTGTGAGATTGGTATTAAATTCTTAAATAATACAGGTCCATGATTTTTCACCTAAATCCCTTAAGATCAGATGCACTTTGGAAATTAAATATTCTGGGTCCTAGAAAGGTAATATGGTGCTAGAGAGATGACTCAGGAGTCAAGAGCACTGGTTTCTCTTGCAGAGGACCTGGATTTAGTTCCCAGCACCCACCCATATGATGGGTGCTAACATCCATCCACAACTCCAGTTCCAGGGAATCAGATGCTTTATTTAGGCCTTCACAGACACTGCAGACACGTGGTGCACATATATATACACAGACAAAACACACACATAAAATGAAAATAAATGAAATATTTTTAAAAATATTATAGTCTCGAAGTCAGCACCAGCTTGATTTCTCCTTGTTTGTTCTACAGCCCATGTATGTAGTGCCCTCAGTGTAGGGTTTTACCATTTAGTTCTGGTGGGTAACCAATAGCAGGGCAATGGCCAGTATTGTTTAAGGGTCTATGGAACCCCTGGTCAACTGCTTCTAGAGAGGGAGTTCATTTCTGGCACTGACCTTTAAAATTTTCATTAGCCTATGATGTCTAGAAAGGGCAATGTCCCCTGTTACAGGATAACTCCTTTTAATCTCTTTTTACGTTACATATGTATATACTTTGAGAGGCTTCTATAATGGTAGGTTTCTATATGGAATTTTCTAAAGGCCTTTAGTTTTACTTATCCCTTCCCATACTCTCTCCTCGGCCCTGCCCTAGCTTCGTCCCCTTCCTCCATTTAATCCCTCTTAGTTTAATGCTTTCGTTTTCCCCTTTCATGGTCCCTGCCAGGAAGTGTCTCTCTGTCCTTCCCAGGAAGACCCCTCTCCTTGTGGTTCTTTATCAAGCTGGTGCTGGATTCAGAGCCTTATCTACACTGGCTGGTGTTCATAGTGCTGGAAGGTGCTATGCATGCTACTGGAAGGAAAAACGTAGTCATCAATTTTACCCAGCTGTGAACAATAACATCTGGCCTGTCAAGATATGCCCATGGCACAAATATTATGGGAGTAACCAACCATTCTCTCTCACTTTTTGGGGGGGTGGATCTAAGGTCCACATCCTACGATGGAGCCCATCCTTCAACATTGATACAGGGCTCAGGGACCTGAGGTAACAGGACATAGGGGAGAACCTAATAAAAGTTATCTATTAAATAATTATCATATTAAACTGACTCTTAATGACTTGCTATATCCATAGATCGATGCATCTCACAACTCTCACCAGAGAACTTGCCTTATGCAACAGGTGGTGATTAACACAGAAACCCACAATTGGCCAATGTGCAGAGAACAAGAGGTTGCAGGGCACTTATCCCTAAATAGGATATCTATATCAAACTCCTGCCTCCTTGCAAGCAATACTCTGTGGCAGATGAACAAATCTATCTGACACAATTTGAGCTTACTATAGCAAGAAAGCTTAACCTATTCTGGTGTTCTCTTTCCCATGAGACAACCAGCTATATAGGCTCAAAAAGTATTCCGAAACAAAGTAAAACAAAACTTCCAAGGCTCAGGGATCATTGTGGAAGAGGGAGTGAAAAGCTTGAAAGAGCCAGAGGTGATGGATAACCACAAAGTAAGAGAGTTTTCCAGATAGCAGGTCAGTTACTCATACAAACTCACAGCAATGGTTACAGCACACGCAAATCCCATGCAAGCTCAAACCAGACAAAATCCCAGCATACACTTGAAAATATGGGTAAGAAACTCCAATCCTACCCAAGGAAATTGTGGCAACAGATGGCTGCTGGGAGAGGCAGAGATAATCTCTTTCAAGCATGAGACCCTTGGTAGGTTAACCAGGCTCTGGTAGATGGACCCACATTGAAGAATATTTCGAGGCACAAATTAGATTCTATAGGCCACCTTATAAAATATATATACATATATATATAATACATCTATAAGAGAGTACACTAAATTGGGTGGGGAAAATAAGGGGAAGGTGAGGATAGGTGAGGGACTCTAAATACCATCAAATTATATTGTATAAAAATTGCAAAAATTCAATAAAATGTTATCATAGTCCTTATTAAAATACGGTGAGATTTTTAAAAATTATTTATTTAATAACCATATAATTAGAAGAAGCATTTCATTACATCAGCACTGATATATTCAATAACAATTTCCAGAGCTAAGATGCATCTCTTTCAAAATTGGCTGTAAATTTTTAGGTTTACAGGTGAATTAATACAGTTATACAATATTGTACTCAGTATAAACCTGTAAGATATGAAATTAAATGAGATTTTAAACTTTAAAAAAGATCTCCATTTCATTATTAAAATACACAGTTTCATACAGAAAAATTCTTTTTCAATGCAATTGACATTGGATGTTTGCACATGCATTTCTAATCTCTAAATATCTGATTATTACTAGTCACAGTTGGTTACTTTCTGAGCTTCTAGGCATCTGAGCATGGATATAAAGTCATCAGGTAGATTTCAATGGTAATGTTTTTCACATCTACTAATTA